CAAACTGTATGGCCATGGCAGGCTTCTTGCTAACTGTTCTTTCAGCTTAAATTAATCCATTTCCATTAATCTATACCTTGCCACATGGCTCGTGGCTTACCAGCATCTTCACATGCTGTTTGTCATCATGGCAGCTGGCAGTGTCTCTCTGACTCAGCCTTCCACTTCCCAGCTTTATTCTCCTCCTTGTCCTGCCTATACTTCCTGCCTAGCCAATGGCCAATCAGTGTTTTATTTATTGACTAATCAGCAACACATTTGACATACAGACCATCCCACAGCAAACTTGCATATTCAATATGTCAGAGTAAGATAGTTTTAAGTTGATTACTCTTTTCATGAAAACTTTCTTGAGTGACATAAACTCCAGTCTCTGGCATGGTGACCATCCACCTCTTCTACTAAGGCCTGGAGCTGCTGCTTCTTAAATGATGTCCTTGCTCATGACTCCAACCTTTGCCTCTGCTCACTGGCTGTGGGTCACTTCCTATGAGCCCTCTGTTGCAAGTCCCTGGATTAGAAACTGCTGAGTTTACATGAGTTTCAATTGAAAGGGTGAATGTGAGAACCCCCTGCTCTCTAATGTTGACTTTATATCTTACTGAAAAGATGGAGTTAACCAATAAGATGTGTGAGAGGAAAAGTTCAAACATAATGCACCAACATAGGCTTAGGTTCACAATCTGTGGTGGTTTGAAAGAAAATGTCTCCCAAAGGGAGTGGCACTATTAGGATGTGTGGCCTTGTTGGAGTAGGAGTGTTCTTGTTGGAGGAAGTGTGTTACTGTGAAGATGGGCTTTGAGGTCTCATATAATGCTCAAGCCATGCCCAGTGAGACAGTTCACTTCCTGCTGCCTTCAAGATGTAGGACTCTCAGCTCTTTCTCCAGCACCATGTCTTCCTGCATGCTGCCCTGTCCCATCATGATGATAATGGACTAAACCTCTAAAAATGTAAGCCACCCCTATTAATTGTTTTCCTTTGTAAAAGTTGCTGTGGTCATAATGTATCTTTACAGCAATAGAAACCCTAAGACATAATCCAAAAGAAAACACCCCCAATTATACCTCTCTCAGGGAGCCCACTTAAAGATAATCCTAATTCTCCATGGAGATTCTTGCCTTTGGTGAGTCCTCTTTGCACAGAACTGACCCTTTATACAATCCCAGTGAAATTCCTTACCTTACTCCATAGCGGAAGTGACGATGCTCACCCTCAGTTTAACCCCTCCCCAGGATTTACATCTCCCCTCATTAGGGCAATCCCAGGACTCTGATAACCTAACAAAACTCTTCTCAAAGCACTACTTAACCAAGAGTACTCAATGGGAGAGGGGAGGTGACTTCACTAGGAAAGCCCCAGGGGATCTGTGGTATCCCATATCTAATCTATCAGGTTAGGGACAAATAGGTGTCTCTTCTTTCCTCATTTCTCCATTAATTATCCAGGTGAGAGCTGATGGACACACACAAACACACACACACACACACACACACACACACACACACACACACACACACACACACTATACCTTCATATTTCCCAAAGCCCTGAAGGATGTTCTTCATCTATATTAATCAAGACAAACTCTGCTGTCTGGCCCAGAGTGCACAGATTCCTGTTTGCAATGAGTCTGGTGCTTCATTTTCATGCAAAACTGTATTCAAAATTCTCCATATTTTTAGTCCCTGCATATTGCCAAAAGCCTGTGGGAACATAAGGACAGAGGTTAATTATTCTGTATTTAAAGCACGTGTGTTTGAAATGGCATCCTCTGGCCACATTGAAATCTAGCTCCAAGGCTTTAAGATACTTTGCTGGCCAAGCCCTACTCACAAGCAGGTCATCTCCCTACTCTTTGTAAGAGAAGAGTGCCATGGTGTCACTTTCCGGAGCAGTGTTACCAGTGTATCGTACTAGGGGTTAATTATGTAGGTTTAAGGATTTGGAAATGGTGATGAGGCCATGTTTATTTTGATATTGGTTATTCACAATGTTATTGGCTTTGTCCATGACCCAATGTTTTAAACACATTAATCTTTCTATATTGACGAGTTACGAATAAGAACACATGTATCAACAGGCAGCCTCCTTGCCATCATTCAGTCGTACCTTTATATCTACAGAGGGCTCCCAAATGTTCACCTGCAGACTCAGGCTAGCCACTAAGATGTCTGTGCTCTAGGTCATCCCTTGAGATAATAGTTTACAAACATTTATTACCTTCTGCCCTCCCATCTTATCTCTCAGGTTCAAGAGTTGATCCTTAATTTAAGTTTCCTAAGGGCTTGAAAGTAAGTCTGTGCCCATCCTAACTAAAATTCTCATAGACCTCAGTTTTTAAAATTGAGTCCCCTTGTAAACTTTTCCTATGCATTTTGAAAGTACTTACTTAGCATTTGGTTTATATTGACTAATATTCTCAGATGGTTCTAGAATGACAGTTTTATTCATTCATTTACATTTCCAACTATAATTTTATAAAACATCTCTGTTGTATGAGGAGCCAGATAAAATGCACCTCTGACTTTTATGGTGACAGGTCAAACTCTAAAAAAATTGTTCTTCTAAGTATAATATATGGCACATGTACCGAAGAAGTTTTGGGAGTTTGGATCATATCCTCATGTATCCTGTGTGCAAGAACTCATTTTAGAAGTATAGTGACATGGGACAAGTTCTTTCATCTCTTTAACTTCAGTTTCATTATTTATAATGAGGACAATAGTAATCATGATGTTCACATGGTTGTTTGCTGGGTGAGGAGATGATACACAAGCACAGGTCTGCAGAAAGAACACAGAGCAAGTGAGTGATTCATGTTATGCTAATAGGTCCCTCCAGTGAATGACCAGCCATTGAAATGTAGTGTAGGCAAAGGGCTGGGGTAAACATGTATTTTGTAGAACATACAGATACCTGGCCCCAACTCACCCTTACCCTGTCCTGCTTTCTCACACTGAGGCATTGGTATGTTGTTCATGTGTCCAGGTGCATGCTGATGATGGTCAAGGTTGTCCTGTGCTGCTGGCAATGAGCTATTCCAGAGCTTCTCTCTGTGAGTTATGGCAGGTGTGTGGGCGGAGTCCATCCACTTAGTCATAGGCTACTATTGATCTGGCCCAAATCTAAATTTCTGAAGAATTCTTAAATATTATTTTAAGATGAAGTGATAATCTGTCTGTTGATATCTATACTAGCCTCCACACACAATAACACACACATGTACATACACATGAGCATGTATGCATAACAGAGAGAGAGAGAGAGAGACAGAGAGAGAGAGAGAGAGAGAGAGAGAGAGAGAGAGAGAGAGAGAGAGAGAACAAGAAAATAAGGATGTCAGAAAATGCTTCGTTAAAGCTGGAAGGGAATTGATTCAGAAGGTACCAAGCTGATGGGGAAAGAGGAGGAGGAGGAATGAGGAAGAGAAGCAGGAACGGGAGGAGGGATGGAATCGAGGGCAGGGATATATTAGTGGCAACCATTGGGCAATGTTTGTTCCTCTGCTCTCTCTTGGGGATGGCTGCTGGAGATGGGATGGAGAGTATTAAGGGGCCTTGGACTGTATGAATAGGTATTTGTTGACTCCAGGCCAATATCAATTTAATTTCAAGCCATTAAAAGTCTAACTTTATTAGCACCTCAGAAAGGGAGCGATTGTTCCATTTCCACGGCACAGCTCTTCTCTGAGACAGGCTAGAACTTGTCCTGTTTGCCCAAGCCTTAGTTAAGTCTCGAGGGAGAGGACAGATGGTGTCATTCTGAAAGCACTCTTGTCTTCTCACAAGGAGAGGGCCACCAAGTGGCAGCTGGTCAGCTTCTCACACTGCCCTAGGGCCTTAGCAGTGCTTACACTTCACACCCTGCTATCTTATGGACAGTTGGGTCCTTCTAGGAGGCCTGACAGAGCTGAAAACAGAGCTTTGAGCGGGGTTTAATGACACCACAGTCTACTGAACAGTATCTCACAAAGGGTGGCTCAAACAGGAAGTTTGGGTGCTCACTGTCTGGGAGACTCAGGGCCATTGACTTAACTTTCATGAGCCTCAGACCCTCATTTTGCTCTCAGTGTTGTTAGGAAGAGTAAGCGGGATAATGTCTGAGAAACCTACACACAATACAGCACACAGGAAGGGCTCCGGGAATTGTAGCTGTGAGACCAGTATAGTTCCATGAATCAAAAGGTGGGACACAGGAAAAGCACCCTGGATTTCACTTCTGTGATTATGTCCTGGACTCCAGAGACCTTCAGCAAACAAGATTAACTAGTGTAGTTTAACTAGTATAGTATGACCAGTCTAGCTTGACTCCACGTGGGTTATTTTCCTTGACCTTGAAAGATAGCTGGGATCCTTAATAAATTGATTGGAGGACTCAAGCTCCGAAAGTCAGCTGTAAACAACACAGACAATCTCATAAATCACACACATGTAAGCATGTGGGATGCATATGTAAGGCTCTAAGGCAGGAGTTCAGGAAAAGAGGATAACCACAAATCTGAACTCTGCACTGGGTGACAGATGTCGAGAGAAAGAAGATCAATATTTGTTGAGAAAGTTTGCAAAACAGTATTTTGGAAATGCAAAAGAGTTATCTCAAGGTTAACGTTGCTGTAGGTAAAGTGTGTGCTTTTGGTCACATTAACATTCCATTGACTAATGCTGGATACAAGAGACCAGTGAGTCATGGCGTCTTTGTCTGATGTTGCTCCAAGATGTACATCCTCAATTAGCCAAAGCAGCTTTCTCCTTTTTCAGCCTCTTAGCAAGACCTTCTCCTCTGTCCCATGGCATCCAGGGCATTTCATCATATTAGAATAGTTTTAAATGTACAGCTAAGTTAGATGAAACTATTCAATTATAGTAAGTGATTTCCTGACTAATTGATAATATTGAGATCAAATGATACTACTATTGCAAATTGAAAAAAAAACCCAACGTATATTATACAAAGTTATTTATTAGTTTACAAAAGAGTTTGTTCGTTACACTGAGAAGCCAAGGCATGGGGGACATTCCACACAAACATTTTTAACAGTGAGTGTATAAAACGAGAGTGGCGAGAGACCAGGTAGGTTTGAGGGCTTCGTATTGATTCCTACACTAGTGTCAGGAGGTTTAAAACTATGAGATGTAAACCATATGTGGGATATTTTGTGAATGCGTTGAATGTTAGTGTCATCTAGATGCGGTCGAGAAACAGATATACCCACGTCATGTTCCATGTGGTTTTTTACTAACTGTAGCAGGCATCACAGCTTGTTTCCCTCTTATAGAAATCGCTGGTGGTGGCGGTGGCCGAGGGGGCAAAGTCCACATAGTCTGTGCTGGAGTAGGAGAAGAACTCTGTGGTTCTGAAAGCATCCAGATGCTCGGCTTCACAGGATGCGCAGTAGCAGACGGAGGGGGTGGTGGGGGAGAAGTGGCTGTACTGGGTGTGGGAAGGCCAATGGTGGTGGTATGGGTAGCCTTCCTCTGGGAGGCTGTGGTTTAGGGAATCCAGAGAAGGCAGAGAAGTGTAATTCTCTGGAGTGTAGGAAGGCAGCTGAGCTGGTGAGTAGTTGCAGTCAAAGGAGCCAGAGAGACTGGAGGAATCCGAAGGCGATTCTGGAGTCTGGAGAAATGAAAACCAGGGAACAAAAAGCTTGGTAACTTAGACAGGATCAAAAGAACTGAGCAGTGTGGATTGAATTGTGCAAAGTGAGAAAATCAGGGGTAAAAATAAGCCTCAAGCCATCCACCTAAGTCCTTAGAAGTAATCTCATCTGTTGACTGCGTGATTTCACGACACTATACCCTAGATTCCCCTTTCTCTTTCCCAACAATCAATTGCCTTGCTTCACTGCCTTCCTTTGTTAAGACCATACTTTGCAGGATGTTTTGCTCTTAAACCACAAAATCTCTCGCTGCGTCTCGGGTCACCTGCACATCAGATCCTGCTGCATGCCACAGTGTAAGCTGCAGGTGGCATCTTGGCTGTTTCTCTACACCCTTGACCATGAGGAGCCAGGTAAACACACAAAGGTGGAACCTGAGTCCGTAAGGGCCCATCGAGGACACGCCAAGATAAGAAACTACCTCCCCCATCACCAATGTGTCCCCCTAGCTGCCAAAGTTCTACCACATCTTAAGCAAGTTTACAATTGTCAGACTTGGAAGCTGAGCAGAAACTGGGTGCCATTTCCCCATGAAAATATGCACATTCTGTGGAGTTAATTTCCCATCTTCTCTAAATTCAGTTTTCCCATTATATGGACTTTTGACAAACTAAAAGAAAAAATATTCCCATTTCTTTTTAAAAGGAAGAAAACCTTACATTTAAAACTTAAAAAAATTATAAATCTCTAAAACATAAAAACAGTCTTACTCATTTTAAAGAGAACACATTTCTGAAATTTGAGATCCATCAAGAACAGAAAATCTGAATTCTTCAAAGATTAGAACATTTTTGGTCTTTCTTTGAGGGAAGGTCTCATGTAGCCTAGGCTGTACTTGCACTCACTATTTAGCTGAGACTGGCCTTGAACTCCTAATCTTCCTGTCTATGCCTCCTAAGTGCTGGGATTAAAGGCATATACCACAGAGCTGTTTTACTGTCTCAGGCTTAAATATGTCCCTTTGCTTATGGCAGACCAAACCAGCCAGTTAGTAGAGCCAATTCAGCAGTTAAGCCAGACCCCATTAGAATATTTGGATATTTGGTATCATATATATATATATATATATATATATATATATATATATATATATATATATATATATATATCTCCATTTAAGGACTTAAAAATCTAAGGGCTATTGTTTAAACTATTGATTTCCAAATTAACAGATGTCTAACTGATGTTAAAAAACATCAAGCACCAGGAGACCTTTTTATTGCCAGACATCCATTTACTCAGGAATCATAATAAGTGTGTATTCAAAGGTTTATGCCCTTCAAGGGGCCCACACATTGAACTTTAAATGCTTCCTTGACTATTTCCTTGTTAACATTTGTAAGCTTTCTCATGAGATGATGCAAACACTTCTACAAAGCATCTCTACCCCACAGTTAGCAACCATCAGGTTACAGGAAGGATGCAGATGAATTACCAGGCTCTGATTATAGCAGAAAGGGGCCACTTGACAGCTGTCTGGGAAATAGTGGGGAGCACTTTGCGTGGAGTTGAGCAAAGGCCCTGGGAGTGTCTCTGTCTGAAGGTAGGACTCAAAGATCTGGTCGAGGCAGCTTGGACTTTCCTCACAAGAGACACAGGTGGAAAATTCTCGGGGTTGAAAATAACTGGGTGTGGAAGACATCGGTTCGGGTTCAAAATACAGTCCTAGAAGAGAAAGGGAAATGATTTTTGCTTAAAAATTGCAAAGTAGATTTCAAAAAATTTTTTTCTATTTATTATATTTAGGGGGAAGTGGTGATTGAGAAATTCCCTAAAAGTAAATAGTTTAGGAATCTGGACTGTTTTAGTTGTCTTGGGTTAACCCAAGTACCAGAGAAATGAATCTGGAAGAGGATAGGTAGCTCTCAATATGGTTAGGGAAAATAAAAAAGGCATAGTGGCCTAGCCTGCATTTAAATGCCACATTCAAGGGGGAGCACATGCCTCCACTTTTTGGAGCCTGAAAGCATTGACATCTAAACTCTATCTGCAGTACAGAGAGATTTCCCTGAAGCCACAGATAGATTTGTTGGGGGCTTTGGGAAACCTGGTACTATGCTCTTGATTCAGGATTGCTGCATCCCTAAACTTTTTATGTAGCAACTTAAATGGTTGAGGAGAGGGTTTTGGGAAATGACAAAAATAGTACTGTATACACGAAAACAGGAAGCCTAGAATGCAGAGCACAAGTTAACAACACTTTGCTTGGAAGTATAGAGCAAAAATGCTTATTTGTGGACATGTTGGGAGGGGAGGGCAATGAAAAACAAAACAAAACAAAACAAGCCATAGAGAGCCAAGGAGAATAGTCTGACAAACTTCACCCCCTTTCCATGTTAATATGAATAGTCCCCATGTGTGATAATCAGTCTCTAAGGTTCACAGAAGAGAGCTTAGAGCCCATTAAAGGGGCTGTAGAATTCTCAGGCTCCTTTCAGGTCAAGTAAAGTGACGTGTTTGGTGGGAACTGCCATAGGCACAGGCTTCCTTCTATATGACCTCCTTAAATTCTTAGCTGCAGAGTGGCGTAGGAAGGAGTGTTTATGTAATGGAGTTATTCATATTGGGCTGGGGAAACTTACACTTGTTTGAACTGCTTTCTGGGAAGAGAGTAAAGAGTGGGAAGGGAGCCCCTGTCGGCTAGACGCTAAATGAACAAGAGGAAAGGCATCATTCTGAGTATTCTGATCCCAACTCATAGTACACCAAGAAAAGACAACACAATTCTGCACAAACCTTGTTTTTAGAATGGCGTTGAGTTGCTTGGAGACCAGCAACTAGGACAAATGTGAAGGACACAATCTTGGGACAGAACAGACAGTACAGAATGAGGGTAAACTCTGTCTTTCTTCCCTTGCGGGGGTTTGCATCTGGAGTCACCTTCTGATTGGTTGGAGTCCAATTAAATGGTGGTGCCTCTCTTAACCCCTGAGTCAGGCTCTGAAAGGCTTCCGAGATGGACTTTTGAGAGGGGCTGAGGGAGCTGTGAGGCTGGTTGTACTGACCTGCAGACGATGGCGTGCTGGAGTCTGGAAGGTGGATACTGTTGCTTCCTGACAGCTGTCAAGGCAAGAAGAGAAGCATGAAGCCAAGGGACGCACGCGCTGGCTGCAGTTCTGGGGAAGCTGGGCAGGGGATTCTCCTGCTCTGCTACGGTAAGCCAGACTCCTTCTTCTAAGAACATCAGACTTCTTTAAGTAAAGCCAGCATTATATTTTAGATTTGATTGTATATTTGCTTATTTGGGGATTGTTTTTTTTTCCTAACATCAGATTCCTTGCTAAAATGTTGTGATTAATTTTGACAAAGGTTGATGTAAAACGTTTTTGTTATAGAAATATAGAACAATTCAAGAAAACTCAGCAAGCAGCCTTTCTATTAAGCAATTTATTTTAGAATGAGTAAGAGTTAACGTTTACTCAACCCAACTATGCCTTTAGTCACATACATTTCTTCAAAGCTGGTTTATAGGTCTTAGGAATTCACTTCTCATAAAGAAATGAATAATAATGAGACATTGTTTCTAGATTTGTTAAATCCAAGAAGCTAAAATATTCACATTGATGGCCTTTAAAAATATAAAAAAAAATTCTTGAAATTGTATTCAGTGATTCAGAGCCTATAAACATTTGAGTTCAGAGCCAGAAAAATTTCAGTTCTTTGCATATTTCAAAAAATTGTTTTCTGTATAATTTGCTTTTTAAAATTACTGTATCTAAATGCTGGAAATTCTTAAGGCTGAGCCTTTCAAATACTTAAAGCTAAGCAGCTTTCCTTTTCCAGTTGAAAGGACAATTATACTAACCGAGTAGTTCAGGATTTCTTTCCTTTAGACTTCAGGTGCAGCTTTAAAGTTTAAAGGGACCAGCGAGCGCTGTTGCTCTGGGCCAGGAAGCCAAGCTCACCACACCTCTCTTGGGCTGCAGGGGGATACTCACTCCTGTTCCCTGAGCCACCTGCATGCAGCGCACAGCCAGCCACTGCTCGAATGGGAGGTGTGTTAATTTTGAAAACGATCCATGCTGTAATGTCATGAACCAGGAAGCTGGAAGCCTTTACCAGCTCTTTATGCAAATATTCGACTGCAGCTTGAGCTGAAGGACTTGGGAGGAATGGGTCTTAAAAAAATCTGCTTCATTGTAGAGCTGGCTTTTAACCCCCTGCTTCCCCACTGGTCTGTTTGCTTCCTTGTTAGCCTGTGATTGCCCGGAGGTATGTTTACAATATCCTACTTGATATTATCTTTCTAGCTCTTGGGTTCATTTTCTACTTTGCTCCAAGAATACAAAGAATGGCGCCTCTCTCTTAGATTTCAGACAGCACACAAAGCCACAATCAACAGTATATAAAAACACATCAAGGCTATTAAAAAACAAAACCAAAAACAACTAATGTTAAAAACGAATTTTTTTATCTTTATCTTTAGATAAGTACTAACTCAAGGTTTTTTTTTTAACTTTAAAGGCAAAGAAGTGGTGTGTGTGTGTGTGTGTGTGTGTGTGTGTGTGTGTGTGTGTGTGATTTGATATGACTGAAATAAGTTTTTAAATTAAATTTACCAGTCTGACGTGTATAGTTTCTTCTGGCACACTTGAGATCTGGATATCTACCTCAGTCTATAACTACCATTTATGACTGCTTTCTTAAAATTTTAGATACTCCTCTGACTTCATAGCAAAAACCCAAGATAGATTTATTTTTGCTTTGCAATATTTGACACAATTAATTCTCTCCCTGGATTACTGTTTCCCAGAGACGTCTTTTAACATTGGACGAAGATGGATACGATCTCTGTTAAACTAGGAAGGTCTGCATGGAGCAGGCACATGCTACTCTCCTCCCCTGCCGACTGGGTACACTGTTGGAGCAGCCCCAGGATCTCACATGCTTCTCATTGCTCTCAGAAAGGGATTTCACATCTGGGGCTCCTACTGCAGTGCTATGTGTCTGACTCTTGAGTGCTGGAAAGGCCAGGGGTGAGTGAGAACCTCCTAGGAGGCAGTAGTGTATGTTCTTGGTAGATGTGCTTCCGAAGTCCCTCTTCATTCTCAGAGGGAACCCAGAAAATGTCAAATCAGAACTCTCTCAGGAACAGAACCTGGTCACATACTTTCTCTTACCCCTCCACTCTGCTAACAAGCCCACAGTGGTCACACCAACTGTCAGGGTTGAGCAGTGACAGGATGGTTTTTTTTTTTTTTGTTTTTTTTGTTTTTCTTTTTTTGGTTTTTCGAGACAGGGTTTCTCTGTGTAGCTTTGCGCCTTTCCTGGAACTCGCTTTGGAGACCAGGTTGGCCTCGAACTCACAGAGATCCGCCTGGCTCTGCCTCCCGAGTGCTGGGATTAAAGGCGTGCGCCACCACCGCCCGGCCGTCAGGATGGTTTTGCCTAAATGGGATGGTTGCTCCGGGTACAGCTGAAGCAGAGTACCAAAGCTCCTTGCTGAAAGAGTATGTTTTAACACCTTTGCTGACTGATGTTTGTCTGCAAAAGTCCTCTCCAGCTCCCATGGCCCCAGTTTTATTAATGGAATAGCTATGAGGCTGTTAAATTCCTGCTTAGTATGATGAGTTTAGAGAGCCAATACTAACAAAAAATATTATCTTGGCTCTGCCTTTAGCCTGTTGTCAACTTCAAGACTTTGGATCTTAGCAATCGTGGAGGAATACACATTTCTGGTCTATTTATGTCATCTGATCATTACAACCAAATGAAATAATGAATATATAGAAGTGCTTAAAAAGAAAAAAAAAAAAAAAAACACTGCGAACTCCCTTTTGCAATGCAAGGGCATTCTACAGTTCCCTGGAATTCTGCAAGTGGAGATAACTAATTTCTCTAGCTGTATGTACCAAATCATAGCAAATACACTTGAACTCTAAGTTCTAAGCCAAAGGTATAATATACATTAGTGTGTACTGGCTATCCATCCTTGGTTGGAATTTATTTTAGTGATCTTTCCCAAAGAATATCCATTGTGCACTCACTGTGGGAAATACTGTTGTAAGTACTCCTCATTTAACCCTTATACAGTCCTACTAGCTTTCAACTGAAAAATGGAGGGAACGGACAAAAGAAAGTTAGTGTGCTGGTGGATATGAGCCACAGAGTTACTGAGAACTAAACCCAGTTCCTCTGGCTCAGAAACCTATCTCACAATTCCCCCATAGCTTCTTCTCTCCCTCCCTTTCATGAAGTCCTACTTGGAACACAAACAGCACCGCACGGAGATGGGAGCCAATGGTAACTAACATATGTGATTGGAGTCCTAGCTGTCTGATCCTCCTCCCACACCTACCCACAAGCAATAACGGTGTCCTGTGCTGAAGGCTCCTCAAATTAAACTTCTTCCCAGTGGACAACCACACCTAGTGTATACGGTTCTGCAGCTGCCCTAAGTACTCTGGTAGTATATGTGAAGTGGCAGGATACCCCATGACTGCTCAGGTCAGTTTTCTAATAGTTCTGTGTATTTTAGAGACAGGGTCCTTTTCTCCTGGAGACTTCCAGTGACTGGTGATTTTTCACATAAATGACCCCAGAGTCTAAGTTACAGAGAAACTAGGTGGGTTTCTGGGAGAGATTTTTCTGAGTGTGTGGGGGCTATGGCTATACTCTATCTTAACACTGTAGCAACGTACTTACCTGCTGGCTGCATTTCTCCCTTGCAGAGGACCAACAAGCCTTCCACACTCAACTGTGAACAGTGAGCGATGAGCCTCCCACATCCCTGGGCCCTACACCATGTCCCACATGTTTTTGTGGCTGCCTGTGGTAACCTGGGGTGAAGCTGGGAGCAGAAGTTGTTAAGACTCCCTGAGCAGGGCTGTGCTTGTGGGGCTGAATGAGGCCTACCATGGACAGGGGAGTGAGGGCGGGGGTTCGTGCTTACGGTCGCCCCTGAGGTGGCCTGATGTGCTCTTCTTTGTTGCAGGAGTTCTTTCACAGTCATCTTCACACGGACACCTTGATACACCTTCGGCTTTTCTGGGGGAGAGGCAACCGGGTCAGCGGTCATTGGTCATTCCCAAAGCTTGGGTGTCAAGGGGTACCGTGAGGGTCCTGCTGATAAGGCTTGGATACCCAAGGCCAAGTTTCAACCTTTGCATAACACAAAGAGAATGCAAAAAAAAAAAAAAAAAAAAAAAAGCTAGCTTTTGAAAACACCCACATTTCTCCAACTTGAAAAGGTGAGGACAACGGCTGCTGCTTCAGGGTCTTAGTGGGGACAGTTCCCATGGGCATCTATGAAGTCATTCGCCCCCTCGCTGGGCCTCATCCTCAGTACAGAGAACAGGTTGTGCTGCTCTGGAATGTGGAGGCAGGTTCAGCAAGCCTACTATTTTGGCTAAGACCATAAAATCTGGGGTTCTGGCTGTGCTTGTGGACCTGGGGGAGCTCTCTGATTCACAACAGCTGACCTTACCCACCTCACCATAATAATGTTCATATTGTGAGCTCCCCCCCCCCCCCCCACACACTGTATTCCTCCATCAGGCCAGGCATGGTTTCTCGGGAGCTACAACCATCAGTTGTGATGCCCTTGGTCTGGAAGCCAGCACCCCCCCCCCCCCCCCGCCCCCGGCCCCCAGACAAGCAGTAGAGGTCTGAGCAGCCTGTCCTGACCCTTTGAGGGGCTTCCTGGACTGACCCCAGAAAAGGGGCCAAGCCCAGGGGGTTTCCTCCTGTCACTCCTTTCCTTTTTTTAAAAAAATTCCTCTCTTTTCCCTCATGCCCTTTCTCCTTCCGCTCCCAGGTCGCTCTCCTCATCTCTCTTTCCACCCCGTCTCTCTTTCCGGGACAGGTATTTCTCGGAGAACCAGGCTGTGGAGAGTTCTCCAGCAAGAGCTGCAGCTCTGAGTAAAGGCATCCCGAGGCTCCCTAGGACCGCGCAGTCGCCTGGAGGCCGCCCTCCGGAAGGGGCCGCCCCTGAGCCCGCAGAGCTGGCCCGGGTGGCCTGGGAGAGCCCAAGTGGCCGCGGCGCTAGGCTGGGGTCCGCAGGGAGGGACCGGTGACAGCCTGGGGGCCTCCCCGGCAGAGCGCAGTGAGTAGGTCTGACTGGTTGATAATCCAAGTTAGACCGGGCAGATGCACTTTTCAAGTGGGGTTTGTCGCCGAAGCCCAGGGTGACTCCCGCCCTGACCTTGACCCTAGAGCCAGCGCTTGGGAGTCGCGTGGGGAGGGGTGGAGCGCAGTGGCCCCTGGCCTGGGCGTCAGGCGACAGTGCCAGGCCGCCAGCGCCTCGCCTGGTTAGTGCGGGGACCGCGGCTAGACAGCAAGGAGACCCCTCCCCACAAGCCAGATCCTGAGAGCTAGGATCCTACAGGAAAGGTGCACTATTCTTCCCGATCCTGGGAATCGGATGTCCCGCCGCAGTGCCAGCGCGCGCCCTCGCCGCTCCAGTCTCCTTCCCTCCCATCCCCACTGCCGGGCTCGGCTCCGGGATCTGCAGGCAGCGGGCGCGCCTTGGGGTCCGGAGACAGCCCCAGCCCAGCTCCCTGCCGGATGCGTCCTTACTCCAGTCCCCGGCTCACGGTGAGCCTCTAGCTCCCCCCGCCGCCGCTTCTTGGCGCACCAGATCGGCGTCTCCAATTCCCAGGACGCCAAGGTGGAAAAGAGAAGGGGCAGGCAGGGGCCTGGGGTACGCGACTGTCCGGGACAGTCAGATGGGCCTCTGGGCCTCTGCCCTTACCCAGCGGGAGCCGACCCAGCGGGCCCGCGCCTTCTCTGGATCCTTGCCCGGCCCTGACTATCCTGCTCTGACTTTGTGACTCTCTGTTATACGCAGGAAAAGCAGAGAAATACACCCGGATCCAAGTGCCCCTGGCCCTCATGACCCGACCCCTGGAGAAGCAGCCGAGTTACCCGACATCGTGGTCAGCAGGAGCTGGGCTGGAGACTGGATGCTGCAGCTTCAGAGACTCAGCACCTAGGAGGGCTCCTGTGCAGGGAGAAAGGCAGAGAGATGCGACATTTTTAAAGTTTCACAAAACACGAGGCAGCACCCAGGTCCCTGGAGCAGGAGACACACAGAATTAATGTTTTATACCTTCGGGTATAGGTTTGAGTTTTTCCCCCCTCATGCCAAGTATTTAAAACCTCTAGAAACCCATGATTTGACAATCAATGATTGCGCGATACTTTCAATTTGAATATTCAAAGGCTTAACAAAATGGACTATCTTCTGCAGAAATCCTGCACACAGGCACCTCACAGGGAGTCCAGAGAAACAGGGAGTGAGATGCCTTTGGGTCCTGACCCTTGCTTTTCTCCCATTTTAAACATTTTGTCCACCTTCCCACAGACAGAGCAGGTGTCCTCAAAGATGCTCCATGTCCCTGCCTCAAAGGCAGCTCAGAAGCCCCCACTGACCTAGGCTGCTCCTCGGGGATCACCCGAGCCAGGCTGGCTAGCCACAAGGATTCTCACTTGCCCAATCTCCATTTTAAGGGAGAAATCTCAGGTTTTGGGAAGTGAATATGGCAGCCAGTGGGTGTGGCACAGCAAAGGGCCACTCTGGGCCCAGGTTGCAGGCCAGAGGACAGCAGAGGCCTAAGCTTTGCATTTTGTATTCCTCTGGCCCGGCTTGGTCACCTGTGGGCTTCCCTCCCTGTCCATCTTCCCTCCTGCTAGGCCACAGATACTGCACTGCCAGCAAACAGTCCTTGGGCATCAACACTCACTTGGCTGCTCAGAGAGCTGTGAGTCATCACTACTGCCCTGGACCGTCGGAGATTTCTCTAGGCGGGGATTCCATCACCGTGCTGTGGCATTCCATATTCCTTTTTTTCCCTTCTTCCTCTGAACCCCAGTCTTTTTGCCTCATAGCACCCCTGCTTTTTTTGAGAGAAGGATGTGGGGTTTGTTTTTAAGGCTCTGAGGAGAGAGGTAGGGGGCATTCAGAGTCAAGCTGCCTCATTGGACCCCTCATAAGTGACTTGGGCCTGTGGTGATGGACATTTTCCAAGCACTGCCTGAGATGCTCTCTAGCCTGTGATTTGAAAGATGGGAGAGACTGGGGTGGTGTAGAATGCCAGGCCAAATCGTCACAGAGAGACAGAAGGGTCCCTTTTGTAAATAACTAGGTATTTCCAGGAATGCAGATAAAGTGATAGTACAGGTCTCTATTCTTTAATCCCTGAGTTCTCTGAAATGAAAAAAAAAGTAAGCTTTAGCTTCAAAGATCTTTAGAAAAATATCCAAAAAATTAAAATGTATCAAATATAGTATATTAGGTATAGGGTATAACAAACAGCTCAGCTAAAGGGTCTCTGGGGATGATAAAAGCATGATGGGTAGGTAGAACTGTCTGTCAGGCAGGTGGCGTCACTTATCTGGGAGAAGGTCAGGGCTGGGGACACAGCGGTTGCATCTGTGGTGGAGGGTAGAGTGAGGTGCGGCTGTATTTGGTCCAGCTGCTGTTTATCAGCCACTGGAGCCTATTTCTGTCAGGCCAGGCCTAAGGACTGGACCAGGGAAGAACCCCGGGATCTGAGAGGAGCCCCCTCCCTGGTACCACTTCCTCCACTCTGCAGCTTTTCCCACTGCTTCTTTTCTCCTTTTGGTCTTGGTCTTACTTTTGGTTTGCTTTTAAGAAGATTTCCTCTTTGTCTTTTGGCTTTTTGTTGTTGTTGTTGTTGTTTACCCTCACTTACATTTTCTATTTCTTGTTTTTCTTCCTATTGATGTGTTTCTTCATTTCCTGTCTTCACTCTTTTCTCCTCTCTCTGGCTCTATATGTGCCTCCCTTTCCCGTGTTCTGGAGTGCTGTCTCATTCTTTCAGACTAAATATTCTTCCTCTGCTCTCCACTCACACAGAAATGGGCAGGGGTGGCACAGTTTTCTCTTGGCAACATCAAGGACATTGTTGATGCTGGTGACTGGGTCCTCCAGAGAGAACATAGGCTGGAAGGTGCAGGCTCCTTTGATGCCTGGGGTCTACAGAGACAACAAAGAGCAAAGACATCTGCATCTTTTCTCCCAGAAGCCTTTGCCTGAGCCATGGCTCAAGTCCTGGGGCATCTGTGTGCTGATGCTGTTGCTGAGAGTGAGAGTGTGGTGCTGTTGCTGCTAAGCAACGACAGGAAACTATTCCCCTAGGCCTGTTTTCAGAACCTTCCCCCTGCCATCTATACTACAGGTCAACCCAACATTGAGGAGTTTTGATTCTGGCTCTTGTAACCGAAAAGCCTCAGAACAGACATTTCAGAGCCAAAAGCCATGTTTGAGGAGTCAAGAGACAATACTTTCTCAGTGGAGCTCCCTTTCATCTGTCTCTGTCTCTGTCTCTGTCTCTGTCTCTGTGTCTCTATGTGTGTGTATGTGTTGATGATGATGATACCTAGAGCAACCAGCCATTGTTTCTTCTTTCTTTTTGTTTTTTGGGTTTTTTTTGTTTTGTTTTGTTTTGTTTTTTTTTGCCCTGAGATTCCAAATGACTGTAGAACTGGGTACCCTTTTGTTTGCTTGCTCATTCATTCATTCATTCATTCATTCATTCATTCATTTTTGTGTTGAGATAGAATCCAGGGCATGCTGGATAAGCACTCTACAACTGAACTACGTTTCCAGCCCATAGAGGATTATTTAAAGTTCTCAGGTGTTGTTTCCTGGGTATTAGACCCGTGCTGTGAGATATTCCCACTGTACAGTTGAAGAAGCCAACTTAGAGGGATGAACATCTTGCCAAGTTCAGCAAGCATGCAAATGCCAGAATTAGGGTTCAAACTTTTGTAAGTCTCACACCAAAGTCCTTGCTGTATTATCAGTTTGTCCAAGGAGCTTAAGACTGCAGCATACCGATGTGGGAATGTTCTAAAAACACAGAACCCTGAAGAAGCAACTGGCTAGAGGTGAATACAAGCTGTTCCTTCTGCTGACTGTGGTTTGTATGTCTGACCAGGACCCTCTTCCTGGGGGCTTGTTGCTTCTAGGCTGCCTCCCCTGAAGTCCCAACAATCCATTTGAGGTTGTAATTAAAAAAACACCCCAAAATTGTGGAGTCTGGCATGCTGTCACAGGCTCCTTTGCTTATAATACAGTATCTTGATGTTGAGTGTTGGAAGGGATCTTGACATGCTGAGAGGGACTGACATTTTAGCCAGTGTCTGTCTAGCTTGTAGCTCCATGGCTGGATCATAGAATAATCTGTGTGGAGGAGATGGGTCTCACTATTTGTGAGGCAGATTTTGCCATTATTGGAATCCTTTCAATATAGTGATCCATAGTCCAACTAGGTGTTCCTTGAGCACCAGGTATATACCAGGTAGGGCAATGAGTACCAGGAATACAAAGATAAGTAAGCCTTGGTTTCTGCCAGCAATGGCTCTGTTCTCCATGTGTGCATTACTGCTTTCCTATTGTGGGTTCATTTACAGATTCATTCACCATTTATTCAACAACCATATATTGATTGCTCTGACCAGTCCAGTGCTTGCTTTCCACTCAAACCTTCTTTCCTTAAAGCCGCTGTCCATAGTCCCCCCCTCTTCTTCATAAATCAGCTTTTCAGACCTCTGCCTTTCCATGTCACAAGCGTAGAAATCCTTTAGTTCATCCCTGACCTCCGTAAAGTCAGCCAGCAGCACCTGGAGTGGGTGGAATGGATGTTTTTAATGGGGAAAATTTTTAACTGAAATTATTGATAGTCTTTTGTGTGCAAACGACACAGCACAGCATCATGCTTTTCTCTCCCAAGTAGGTTTTATAAAACGTAGACATGCACATGTTAGAAGGCCTGTGGCACAAGGAAAGGTGCAGTTTATTCCTTTCCAATTTGACTACAGCCCTTTAGTAATGCAAAGTTCTTTTGTCACCTTGACTTTGGGACACTGTTACCGAATGTTGTGGGAAATATCGAGTTCCAAAAAGTTGAGTACATGGAGGAAACAAGTATTCATTGGTGTATCATAGGATACACATTTGGTCCATGTGAAAATGACCAGGAAGGCTAGTAGATGGAGGTTATGTAAGATTTTGTACATAGTCAATTTCTCCTCATAGTGTACATTCAGAATTTAGACTTTCCTTTAAGAAAAGCTTATGATGAATCAGCCCTTGATCATTTATTATTAGGCAAGAAAAATACCATAATATACTGCTTGAAAAGTTTCTGTTTTACTTACAACATTTTTTATTGTGTCATATTTCTAACATATAAAAGTGTATAGAGAATACTGTCATGAAAACCTGTGACTATATCACCATGGTTGAGGAATAAAATGGCTGAGTGATCACACATTTATGAATTACTAAGCATTAGAATTTCTGGATTATTCCACTCAAGATATTTGGTTGGGGGAAAAGTTTCTTAATGTAAAAGATCTAATACCTTGCTACTATTTGTTTGGTCTACAGTTTTTCCTTTTGGAATGTGTAACTTTTTTCCTGTTCTTTCTTGTAATCTACTCAAAATGCATTGCATTTTGCAAATTTATATGTCTTCTTTTATTAGAGGTTATTGTTAAAAATACTTATGTCTCACATATCTAATAAAACATGATGCCCCTGTTTGAAAATAAGTATAGAACAATGTATTATTGTTTAGTTTGACCCTGGGAGATTATAGTTTCTGACTTATTGTGCTCGCTTTAATCATACCAGAGAGATTAAACCCCAAATAACTAACTTATATGTCTTTTTAGAAATATCTCATAGCACACACAGTTATAAAATGATACACCAATATATTTTGTACTACTTCAGAAGTTCATAAACTTTCCTTCTTGAAGATATTTTAAGATACTTCATCAGCCATCTTAAGAATTTGCCCACAAACGCTTACTATTCATCCATGGTCAGCTTGTTTTAGAGAGCTGTCATCCAGAGTCAGGTGCTAAAGAGCTGTCCGTCTTTGTGGTGGTTTTAGTTCAACCTAAGAAGAGTCTACTGAGCACCTACAACATGCTGGCCCTAAGCCAGGTGCTAGGGATGCAAGGTGAGCCATGAGTCCTCCACCCCCTTGAGTCTTTACCTAGATAATCCCTCTTTATCTAGAGTATAGGAGTTTTCACTTTGTCTTTCTTAAGTCCATAGTTAGTGAATATGTTGTATAAGATGAACAGTGTAACAATGGGGAGGGCACTTTAGACAGAAACCAGTTGTTGGACTGAAAGTTAATTTTGGTGAGTCACTATAATATCATTAGAATGCAGTGTGACTTAAACCCTTGGAATCAGTTACTATTTTGGTACTTTAAATACAAGTGGTTTTATTCCTGACTATATATCTATATTTACATATAGAAAAAGTAGATATTCAGATACCCTTCTGTGGATACACATCTCTATATGCAAGCACATATCTTACTGTTGAGGTTAGTTTTCCCCTTTGTGGACTTTTCCCTTTGTGGACTTTCTTTTGGGGGCACTTCAATCCTACCATGCCATTGCATTATTAACTCATCTGTGGAAAGTCATAACGATGATTTAAAAGGACTTACTAAATAAACAAAGTAAAGATGTGGTTTTCTGCTCTCATTCTTTGGGGTTTGAATTACATTGTAAGAGAAATACAAACACTTTCAACAACATGCTGTGTCTGTTTCCAGTGATTCATGGGATGATTATCTACAATGCAGGTTTTGCATGGGCAGATTTTAAATTTCATTTAACAACTTTTATTCTATGCATTTTTTATTTGTGTGTGGGGTGTGTGCGTGTGGGGTGTGTGCATGTCACAGTACATGTGTGGAGGTCAGAGAACACCTTCTAGGAGTCGGTTCTTTCCTTTTACCATGGGGGACCTGGGGTTAGAACTCAGGTCAGCAGGCTTCACTTGCTAAGCCTTACTGCTGGTCCTTAAGTTTCACCTTTGACTTCTGGTATTTTCTTAAATAGGTTGAACTTCACATCACCATTTTTACCTATTTAAAACATGCATATGTCCTGAGTCCTGGCAAGAGCCCAAAAGAGTTGGCGTTATTAGCTGAGACTCATAGTTTTCCTTGGTTCTTCCGTGAGAGGCAATGAGTCAGAAGATGTCAAGTTTGAGGCAGGAGAGAGAGAGAAGAATGCATTTTTTCCATATTATGGTATTGTGCAAGCAAAGGTGTGGTTAATAGCCACATGCTGAATAGGAAATAGTGTAGGGAAGTGTGATTAATCTCCCTGCCGTAACTTTGTAGTTTGTTTCCATTTTTTAATAAGACATTTCCAGAACAATAAAACAGGACCAAATTAGAGTATGTGAAAGAGACACACATCAGGCCAAACAAAATCCTGAAAGCCATTTACTACTTGGAATTGATTAGCCTGATTCTGACTCACTCCCATTTCCTGTGGGCCAGGCAGCTGAAATGGATAATAGACCTAGTGTGGGCTGTATATGTCTCCCTTGTTACACGCTAACCTTGTGGACACTGAACCAAGTTGGGCACTTTAAGAAGGATGTAGACACCTTTATGTGCTCTGTTTTCCTCTGTTTCAAGGCCTGATTTCATTTGAGAACCAATATGTCTTCAGAGTATTACAAGATCAATGAACATGATGTTTGAGTAGATGAATACAAAGTGAGCCATGATGATGAACATTGAACATAATAACCAAACAAATATTAAAATTATGAGGATACATACGTATATATAATTTACAGAAACTTCAATTTTCTACTACTACTACTACTACTACTTAGTAACTTACCCTGGTGAGTACTATATAACTATAGTTATTAAAAAGTTTACACAACCAGTCTAGAAAACTGACTCTGGAGCCCTCAACTACAGAGACGTAGATCTCTAATCTACAGAGGACCTAGATCTCTTCTTTCTGGTGTGAGGCCTGATGCTCAGTTTTGAGTAACAGTTGGATGACAGAAGGCTCTTCTAGAGCTACTGGGAATCACAACAGATGTCTTAAGTGGAAGAAGACTTCAGAAAGAACAGCCACCTCTGCTGTAGCGAATGTTGCCAGTTTTCCCCAGTGAGCACACGCTGAGCAGAATAGAGCCCAGGCTGACCTTTACTTCCAGTGTATATCCAGTTGCTGGGTTAGGCTGTGGCAGCTGTGTTTCTAATGTTTTGAGGAATCCCTGCTATTGAAGAACTGTAATCAACCTAAGAATTCATCAGTGGGTGAGCAGATAAAGAAAGTCACTCTGTCTCTGTCTCTGTCTCTGTCTGTCTCTCTGTCTCTGTCTGTCTGTCTGTCTCTCTCTCTCTCTCTCTCTCTCTCTCACACACACACACACACACACACACACACACACACACTATGCAACCATAAACAAGTTCTGTGATTTGTGACAATACAGATGAACCGTAGGGCATACGTGATGTGAAATAAGCCAGGAGCCCAGAGACAAGTGTTGCATGATTTCATTTGTGTACATTGTATGAAAAGTTGACCTTATAGAAACAATGATTAACAGAGACTAAGGTGGGGAAGAGGAGGGGGCTAGGAAAGAAGTTGGTCATTGGTACAAAGTTACAGTTAGGATAGGTAGGTTTTGTCATACTCTTGCACGGTAGAGTGACTACCATCAATGGCAACATAGTTTATATTTCAAAAGAACTAGAAGAGATGATTTCCCCCTGTTTTTGTTGTACTTATTGAAGAAAGGATTTTAATGTTTTACTACCAAGACAGGATACATGTTTTGATGCCATGGATATGCCAGTTACCACGATCTGAGTGTTATATATTGTTCGTGCATTGTGCTGGGCAGGTTTTCGTCAACTTGACACAGACTAGAGTCATCTGGAAGAGGACACCTCAGCTGAAAAAATGCCTCCTCCGTCAGATTGGTCTGTAGGCAAGTCTGTGGGGGAATTTTCTTGATTAGGGATTAATGTGTGAGGGTCCAGTCCACTGTGGGTGGTGCCACCCCTGGCAGGAGGTTCTGGGTGTATAAACAAAAACAAAAAGTTGAGGGAAGCATGGGGAACAAGCCAGGAAGCAGTGTTCCTCCACGGTCTTTGCCTCCAGGCTCTTGCCCTGACTTTCCTTCATGATGGGCTATAAGCTTCTGTAAGGACTATTCCTACCCAAGTTGCTTTGGACCATAGTATTTACCATAGCAACAGAAAGCAAATTAGAACATGCACACTGAAGCATCTTATCACTCTCCCACAGATGTGTGTATACATATCTACACCACAGTCACCAGACGACAGCCACCAGAGCTCATTGTTCCTTTGCTCCTGCATGGATACTTTCCAAGGAGGGAGCTTTGAGTACAAGGAAGAGGAAGGCTTTGAATTTCAGCATTTCGGTTGGTATTCCATACACTAGGGATAGTTTGCTTAGACAGAAAACATCACCAGAAGACTAGAGGAGACATATCCACTATTCACATCTAAGTATGAATTAATACCTAGATTTAAATTCGCAGACCCCGCCCTCCCTGCCTGAACTGAGGTAATCAAAGACAATAGCAGAGCACATTTTGGGGACTCTATTGAAGAACTGGACCAAAAAGAAGCTTTAGAGATCTCAGTGGAAAATAAGAATCTTGGCCTCTAGGAGACAAGGAGGGACCAGAGGGTTCCGAAAGGTGTGAGAAGGAAGTAAAGAAGTGATTGTGGTGGAAGATTGGAGGAGGCAGATAAGTGTCACCTATGGGTCTTGGTTTATGCATCCACAAAGTCAAAGTGTGTGTGGGTCATGTATGAGGGGCATGGCCTGCAAGTGACCACTCTACTCAGTGGAGATTACTTGGCTTAGCAAAGGAATCCACACCTCTCAGACTTACTAATGGCAGATTCCTATTTCTGATGTCAGTTTCTGTATTTGTACATGGTAAGTGCTATCCATCTCTCACTAATAAGCCCCAGAGGACTTGCTTCGCGTAGCTGGAAAATATGGAATGTGCTGTTGATGACTCTTGCCTGGCAATGTGCCCATCCCCCTTGCCTCTCAGCTTCTTGGTGTCCTGTTTGCCGCTTGCAATGGTCTAGTCCCACCTTCTGCATTTTCTTTGAAACCTATGACTTGTGTTTTGATCATTGAATTCCCACTGCATGCAGGCACACTGGTAACTATAAATTTAATCCATTAGTCATATTCTGCCTAGTTTAACTGAGGCTCCCATTGATCAGCCTTTTATGGTGGGGGATTCTGAAATAACATTTGGACACCCTGGGTAAAACTCTACGTTTACAAAGCCAGTCTCCTGACCTCATCCCATTTTATTGACAATAAAGCATTTATACCTGGTGCCATAATTTTTATGGGGACTTTACAAGTCCCTGTAATAAGGGAAATGTGCATAACACTGCAAACTTTAAAGTCACGTGGTATATACAATGAATTTTGTTTTACGTGCTCCAAGCTGCATTATACCATTCCCCTTTTCTTTTGCTAGATACACAAAGTTTATAACCAATAAAAATTAGACAGGAAAACCATTGTGTTTTATAATCTACTAAAGTTTTTAATGTAATATAAGAAAAATAGCCAGAGCCCAAAATGATGCTTCAAAGGTAACAGAAAATTCAGAATAAAATGGGTTACCAAAGTTCTAAAGTGGCCTCCCTTGTGAGGGTGTCTCATTAGAACGTGATCCACAAAGCATTTTATTGACACTGTAGTGTTTGGCAGGGGTGTTATAGTGGCAGAGGTGTAGTGGCTAAGAGCGGAGATGAATGCCACTGTCAATTAGAACTGGGCAGAATTGTGGCTTAAACTGAAAATCCAGGTCTGATTGGGCTAGCACACCTAGAAGAATCTGTGGACACAGACTCCAACGTTCACAAGAATGCAGAAGTCCTCTGGCCTGCTGCCTCAGTAAGCTCTCCGGCACTCGTAAGAGCCCCAGGCCATGCCGCCATCTTCTTTTGTCCAAGGTGAAGGGTCATGAAGGGAAGAGGTGTCTGACCCCTCCTCTGGGGAGAGGGGCACCACCTTGGGTGGGAGGTCATTTGACACCGTCATGAAAGAAGTGAAAGGGTATGAAGATGGGGTGGGGTACCCTGGTGTGTGGTGCAGCTCTTCCAGTGCATGCAGCGAGTAGGGCTGAGCCCCAGCAAGGGATGCACCCCATCCCATGCTCCTGTGTTGGGTGCTGCTTCCTGACTCCAGCTGGGAGAGGCAACTGGTGCTGGGTGGCAGGGTTTGCAGGGTATCGGCAGGCACAGGGTCTGGCTGGCTGAGTCCATCCGGCACTGTCTGCTCCCAGGAGTCTCTCTGAGGAGAATGGCAAAGGCATGGGAATTATTCTTTAGTTGATGCTCAGAGGATACAGTGCTGCCACTGGACCGAGGCATCCAGAAAAGCCTCCGTGTACTCTCACTGCTGCTGAAAGCCCACCTGCCAGGCAGATTTACCCTCTGGTGTTTGACTCAAGCCGGGAAAATCTGGGTTAATTTCTACTCTAGGATGTTACTCTGGGCTCTACATTCCTTTTTACACAAGCAGGGGATGGCAGTACCTGGTTCTCATTTGGAGAAATCCTCCAATTACATAGTCTCTAGAACGTCATGCGGTAGGGGGCTCCCTACCTCCTCAACAGAACTTTCTTTGGGGTGTGGA